GGGGGACAACTTCCCAGCGCCTTGATGTGGGTTTAGTGGTTTGCTAAAGGAAGCCTGAGTGGGTGGCATGACTTTCAAAAGTGGGCTTGTGGACATAATATGTGTCTGTTATGTAATCCTGTATACACATGCTGACATCAAGGAAAATGGTAAAGCTAGAGTGTAAGGTTTCCTCAGATATATTCTGTTTGGTATAATCAAAATAAGGGAAATGAATCACCTCTTTTATTAAATTTTTCTTTATATATATATATATTATTGATGCGGTCACTTTAAATTGACATATCCATGTTATTCCAAATAGCACCCATTCTCCCAAGCAAATCTATACTGTGTGTTTTCAAACTCATATTTAAAGGGTGTAGCAACGTAAGATCCTTACATAAAGTATTGTGTAAAAATGTCCCCGGTTTCGGTTTTCCTACCCTTTACAGATATTCAACTAGCACCCAGTCAACATCTTGCCCCTCCTTATCTCAATGTCACCCACCAACAAGGCGTCACCCAATATCTACACTATATACTCCTTCCAGCTAACTCCTTCCCAATTTACATCCCTACATTATCCTCTCTTCTAAACCTCATTTCTCTATCGAGTAATCCCCTAATTAAATAACTTTGCCCCCCTTACATCTCCATTACAGTGCCCACACATATACCTCTATGATTTATCTCCAGAACTGAGCCACCCGATTATACCTTCATTAAATATTTACATAAGGCCCTGTTTTTTTACGACAACTTGGCCAAAAGCATATATATTTACATATAACACACCACTGTTACCTTGCTTTTCATTGCACACCTCAATACTACAAGACGCAATATTATGATAATACACATCCTGATGTCATAACGCTACACCTTGTGGGCACTTAGCAGGTTACAAAACAGCAGTGACAGAAGTGTATGCAATAGATGTTGTGTTTGAGCTGAAGAAAGCAATAGTTGCTTTTTTGAAATTCTGATAGATGAAAAGAGGTTTATAAGAGAAGGACTGAATCCCATAGATTTCTTTTTTTAGAACTAGCTAAACCAGCTTTGGGTTTGTTTGAAATTCCTGGCTGCTCTCAAACTACAACATGTGTTACTTGCACTGACTTGTATCTTTGATTGTGAGATAGAATCATAAAGTCCTCTAGTGCTTGGGAAACCACGATAATAAAACAGAACAATATGTCTGTTCCTACCCTGAAGCCAAAGTCTAGCCTTTTTTTTTTCTAAGCACTGTTCTAATATTACATTGCCCTTCCAGTATTTATTCACCTGCACAGCGAGTGGTCCTCAGACCTGCCTATAAAAACTGCATGGTAGAGATGACGTTGGTTGCCCCTCCAGATTCACAAAGAATCGTAATAAAGAAACAGGCAATACTATTTTTCAATCCTCTTATGGTAGTATGAAGAAAAATAGTTTTGTGTTCCTGCTATTTAGTTTATATATTTTGCATAGCATGTCAGGGAATAACGCCATCAAAGGGTCTATCCATCAAAGTGAGAGAAACAGTGATTTTGTTTTATACTTACATTTTAAAAAATGAATGGATTGTGTCTTTAAGTGAATTACAGGGCACGCATTTAGGCTTATTGGTAATGATTTTTTTTTTTTTTTTTTTACATGACCATTATTGTATAGAATAGATCATAACAAACTATGCCATGTATTGAAGGTTCTGGTTCATTAATCATTATTTTTATTTTACCAAATGAGCCAATCACTTAAAGTTTCACTCCAGGAATGTACAGAACATAAAGATGTATATACGGGATCAACTGCTCAGGCATTAGGATTGATTTAAACCAGTAGTGGCAAGTCGGTTGTGGGACACCAACGGGGTAGGCCTGAAAAAGAGGGCCTCTTTGTTGAAAGATATTAAAAAGGGAGAGATGGGTTTACAAAAATGCAGGCAAAACGTCAGTAGGAGGAGGCTATTAGGAGGGAGTAGCTATAGGCTGGTAACCCCTTACACAATTTTAAGCATTCTGCCTTATATTTGTTTACGGGAACAACTGCCGAGGCATACAATTATGATTGAGTTATACCGGTAGTAGCAAGTCCGTTGTAATGTGCCGAATTATTATTTTAATTGAGTACTAGAAATGTGATGACTCTTGAGTTTTTCACTTTTCCATTACATTTGGAACACATTACCTTCTCTGTTAGTTATAGGGGGAGTTGGTAACTAGCTCCCCCCTTAAAAGCACCAGAGAGCTGAATAATGTATCAGTTGTTGCTATCTGTTCTTAGTTTTGTTTGCATCGCACACTGTTTTATAAGCATCACTTGCTTCTACACTATTTTCTCTAGAATCTCCACATTACAATGCAGGTAGACATTACTCATAGAGGCCTGTTTCAGTTGGAATAATGTGGACTAAATGAACAGGAAAGGAGATCCAGCCATCTCTGGCTACATTACCGTGTACGTTTGTCATGTGAGCAAAATCTTGTGCTTTAAGAACATATGAAGTAAGATTTGAAAAAGGTCCGTTCATTAATAAGAAAACTGTAGCTTTAATGGAGTCTTATGTTAAAAGGACTTTTATTTCCACTATTTTACCTCTTCAGCAAATAAAAAAGCCTTGTTTCATTTCTTTGACATCTGATTAGGATGAAAAATAAACTCCATACCATTTATAGCTGAAGGACACACTATTATAAAATCTATTTCCATAATTGCTGTCTGTTATGTACTACGGATACATAGTTACAATCTCCAAAACAGTCTACAACCCCCTGGTAGTTATTTAAGCAGCTGAAGCTGCCGTAGTACTTGCATAGCGTTGGGAAAGGCCTGCCTGTAAAGATGCCTCCTTCTTTTGTCCCCGGAATTCCTCAATTTGGTTATTATAGAAGAAAATAATGAGTCAGTTTGTGGTTGTTTTTTTATCAAAGCCATTTTTGGTCTGCTGACTGTACTTATGCAAAGATTTTGTATTTTCCTTTTGCAGCACGCAGAGACGGCTGGTGGTGTTGGGTGGGAACGGAATGGGGACATAAGAAACATGCTTGAGTGCTGGATGATCATGCGATAGAAATGTTTACTTGTTCTTTTCTTCTCAACAGGCCATGGGTGTGTATCTCTACGGAGAACTAATGGTGAACGAGAATGCCAGACAGCAAGAACTTGCACACAGATGCTTTGCTGCTGTCAGAGATCAAATGGATGTATCCTGTGTAAAAGTGGTGGGAGAAATGTTATTTTAGTGAAATTATTTCCATAGAGTGATACTGTGATTAAACCCGCCAAGCGATCAGTGGGTTCTTCTTAACCTGAGTTAAACTTGACAGGATTAAGAGCGGCACTACGGCTAGATTACTTGTTCTAGCTTGGAATAGAACAATATTTTATTTGGCGCAGGGCCTTCAGGGAACTTGCAAGACACCAGCAACAAAGGGGTTGTGTTAATTTTTTTACGTGTGAATAAGAAAATCATGTGCCTAGACTGTCTGTAATGTGTTATCTAAATGTTATAATTCTTTGTCTTTTTTCATATAAAAAAATAAATCCAGTTTTACTGGCGTACACAAAATATATCAGGTGCCTGCCTCGAAACGTAATCTTTGTAAATGTTTCCCACATTGCGGTTCTATGTGTGGAGTGTTTTGTTCTTTTTGTGGTTTATACCTTAACACCTGTGATGTTTTATGAGCAGCAATCCTATTAATTCTATGAGACCACCAGGTGCATTGCAAGTGTCAGTATTTATGATCATTTTAAACTACTAATGTAAAATCTCTTCAAAATTAAGTTTTCATACTTGGTTCTTCACTCACACATTGGAATACCCTAAGGTAACCTTATTGTTTGCACATGTACATTTAGCACATTAAGTTTGCTGTGGAATGAAAGTCTGAAGTACAGCATATTTGAGATAGTTGTCTAATGAAAGAACACAACTCACTTACTGTTTATGCTGCTGTCTGCATAACTTTGGATAAGACTTGGTAGGAAATTGAGATGGTCACCTTTACAGGAATTTGTGTATATTTTAATTAAAGGGCTTCTTTTGCTTTGGTCTGCACAAAACAACCATTATGTGCCAAAATGCCCTATGCTTTGTTCTTTGTTGATGATTGGTGGTAACTGTGACAATCACATTGCTCCCCAAAATTATTTTAACAATATATTTGAAAAGATGTGATTGATATACTTATAATGGGACTATGGTCGGGAACTTAGCTTGAGGTCCCTGAGGCATAAGGAGTACGGTAAGCTTGTATTGAGTAGATAAGAATCTCACGTATTTGGTACATTTATATTATTTTAACCTGTAGATGTTAGTCTGAGATTTCCTAACCTTCTTCTATAGTACCTAAATATCAAACTGCAAGCATACCAGGCAATAGGGCATCTGAGTAATTCTGTTGTACTAATGTCTGACACACTCTACAATAAGAAAAAACAAGGCAGTTAGGACTATTCTACTGCAAAAAGATATATACATATATATTACACACACACACTTGGGGGTATTCCAATTAATAGTGAAGTGGAGTTGAGTAACTAGTTCTCGGTTAAGTCCATTAAGTGGGATTAATAAACATTTCAATGTGATATTAACTAGTTAATTTCTTATTTTTTTATCACTAGCTTGTTTGTCTTTCCGTATTTGGGATACTAGTTTATTTTGGTATAAGTAAATAAGTAAATGTTATACTTCCATGGTGACATATTATTTCTTGTATTCAATGTATTTAACATGGAAACATTTGCATATAGCTATTGCGCCTACCATATTTTGTCCTCATTGTTTAAATCTTTCTTCACTGGATTATATCTGCATTGTTCTACTGTCATACAACCATAATTCCATCTGAAACAGAAAGTTTAGGTGTATTAATGGTGTTTAGCACACAAACTACCTGTGGCACTTAGTTTTTCATGTGTAGAATTGAGGTTTTCAGATACTTCACAGCTTTGCCTCCCTGATGTGGTTGTTTGGGTTCCTGGCATGCTGATTTGTGAATTAAGAGTAAAATCACATTGCCAGGGATTACCACACAACCATGTCCTTGGCCGCTCTTCTGGAATAACTGGCTGAATGGAAACTATAAATATGTACAGAAGACCTGAAGATGTCTGACCATGAAACATCGGAAAAAAAGACCCTCCAATTGACCGCTTAACAAGACCAATAACGTTGACCTCTCTACCAAGGTGCAGAGCTTAGCTGATTGGTGAACAGTGATTAATTTCCTCTTTGTTCACAGTGGCTAAGTTCTGCACCTGAAGAGAGGACGAAATGGAATGCTTCCTGGAACCTAACCAAACAGAAGAGTCTGCTCATTTTAATTCTCTGGCAATATGTACCTTGTGATCAAAGCTTTCATGAATGCTTTATTTGACACTAATGCATAGTTTTATATAATTTATAATTGTTCCTTTTGGAACCTATACAGCCTGTGCACATTATTAATGTGAAAAAAACATGTTCCAAGTATGGTGTAAATTTACATAACTTCATGGTGGTTATCATTTGGCCTGTGGTTCGTTACTTGTTGAGGCTGGACCTGCAGTTGTATTACACACGCGATGGACCAGTCCTCTTGTGCCTACTGAACTGATATCAGTTCTGTCTTATATACTGGCTCAGTTCAGCAGGAACAGGAGTCGGGCCCTTGAGCAAAACTCAGCCAACTGTTGTAAAGTTCCCAGAAGCACCACAGCCATATTTGTTTTTGGTGAAGCACACTGTTTTTTACTGTGGAGTTGTTGGTTTCCATGGTGAAGAACAGAGTAGATGATCATTTTACTGTTAATTGCTAAATTAATCTAGTTTTGCACATGGCTTTTTTTCAGTTATTGCTTTAAATCCATAGAATACAATTCTAAATGCCTTAAGTTTTGCAATCCAGGATTTGTAGGTTAGGTTAATTGCAGCAGCTGTTACTGTGTTGTTTACATTTTGTCTTGTCCTGTTTTTTTTGTGAAATGCATTTGTGTTATGTCCATATACAGATTCCATACATCCAAACAGGGCCTCGTTGTAAAAACTTATTTTTTGTAAATATTTTTGTATATTGACAACATGACCTAGTGTTTATTGTCCCACATTTCGTTTACACTATTTTGTTAGCTTGTACATTTAATGTATTTATGTCTCCAGTACTCGAGCTACGTATAATATATTTAAACCCAACAGTAGATTACATTTCAAGTTGTACTTAAATCGTTATGATGAATGCAACTCATTATGCATGCTTTACTTTGCAAGGTCGGTATTTATAAAATGAAGAAAGAAAAAAGACTTGAGATACCAATAACTAAATTAAATTTTTGTGACTTGGTTGTTTAAACTTGTTTATATAGCTTAACTTTGTGAAAATAAGTTAACTTCTTTCTTGATGAACAGATAGGTTTGAAGCAGCTTTCCGTGAATTCAGAGAACCTCAATCTACAGCCATTTACTGTTCAGTAAATAAAAAAAATGATGTGTTAAAAAATAAATTCAACAGTAACATTTTTGTTAAAGTGAAATGTACCTTTCTCATATTAAAGGGACACTATAGTCATCAGAACAACTACAGCTTATTGAATTTGTTCTGGTGAGTAGGATCATTACCTTCAGGCTTTTTGCTGTAAACACTTGTCTTTTCAGAGAAAAAGCAGTGTTTACATTACAGCCTAGTGATAACTTCACTGGCCACTCCTCAGATGGTTGTTAGAGATCCTTCCTGGGTCATGGCTGCCTAAAATGCATCCAAACATTCAGTGTCTCCTCCCTCTACATGCAGACACTGAACTTTCCCCATAGAGATTAATTGATTCAATTCATCTCTATGAGGAGATGCTGATTGGCCAGGGCTGTATTTGTGCTCTGCCCCTGATCTGCCTCTTTGTCAGTCTCAGCCAATCCTATGGAGAAGCTTGTGATTGGATCAGGCTACCACTTCTGCTGATGTCAGCAGGCAGTGGGCAGGTCTAAAGGAAACCGGGACAATGTAAGCAGCTCCAGACTTGAATACAAATAAGATTTTACTATATTTAGGGAGGCATGAGGGGGCATTGGGCTAGATGGTGGTTTTAACCCTATTGGGTCAGGAATACATGTTTATGTTCCTGACCCTGTAGTGTCCCTTTAAATTAAAACAAATTAGATACAGGTTTGTGTGTTAATGAGTGGAAGGAAGATTAAACAAATAAGTAAGATCGGAAATCGTAAGATGTCAGTAGAGAAACGTCATGGTGGCATTCTTTGATGAGGCAGATAAATGTGTCCTTAATTGAAACAACTATCTGGATAAAAACACTGACATAGTTTATAGACACAGATTTTTGTATCAATTCTAATCACTTATTTTTACCTGCCATCTGCTATCACTAAAGTGCCTATAACTACTATTAGTAGCTTTATTAAGTAGTGACAAGGCGATAGCTGGTTGACACTGATTGCCACTCACTAAGCAAATAACAGTGCCCATTACTTTCTATGGGAGCTGGTAACCCTATTTAGGGTTTCCAATCATATCGCTATTCATTAACGGTTTCTGCTAATCCCAAATTATTTCCAACGTCTGGCCTGATCCTTTAGGAAAAATGCATGTTGTCTGTATGTCACAATATTAAAACTCTGAAGTACATATCAAAGCATGTTCAACTAATTTTAAAGAGAAATAGAATTAAATGAAAAGACCAGACAAGTTACGTAAAAAAATTAATAATTCTTTATATAAGTAAAATGCATGTGTCATTTAAAGTAACAATTCTCATAGCACAAATTAATCTTGCTAGATATATATTTTTGTGTCTGGCAAAGCACAAAATCTAAATGTAATACATTGTATACACTGTTGCTATCTCCTGCTAAAGCCAATCACACGTGCTCAGGGTGAGTTTTCTTTATTCGCAAGGTGTGGCTGCAGTGGTTACAATTTACCCAGCATGTGCTTCTGTGCTTTACCAGTAAAACTGGTCAATCAGCAACTTTTGAGCAGATATTATTGTCAGCAAGCTGGCAAATAGCAACAAGGCTCGAAACCTGTCGATAAGTAGCAACTGCCACTAAATGTTGTCTGTTCTTAATAGCGACCATTTGCGACTGCTATTTACTGAAAAGGTTGTAAAGGAGCCATGAGTTTTTACTATTTTAAAAGTTAAAAATTACCCTAAAAATGTTGCTCATTGAAAAAAATATGCTGCATTGGAATACATCAGTTATGCTGTTAGATCTCGTGCTTCTATACTGTCGGGTGGAAATGAAGAACATGAAAATCCCAGCAGTAGGCTAGATCGTTTTAGCAGAGTAAGAGTTTGCTAAATAGCAAGTTTTCCAGAGATTTCAATTGAGGAACTGCTAATCAGCAAACTCTACTACGGAATACGGGGTAAGATTGGAGCTGTGAATCGATGGCCATCTCTATTCTAATTATGTTGTGAAAATGAGTGAATTTGGACTACCTTATTTTTGGTGCCATATTATATTGGTGATCCGTTCATCAAGTTCAGTAGCCTTTTGTCATTGTCAAAATGATCTCCATTGCACTGTGAAAGGCATTGTTACTACAGAAAACCAATTATGTTATGCAGTTGCCTGTGGTTCCCCAAAAGCCAAACTGCTCTGCAACAATCGGTAATTAATGCTGCCACCAGGCTGATCTCTCTCACCCGTCGCTCCTCCCAAACATACCCCCTCTGTCGATCCTTACACTGGCTTCCTGTGTCCTACAGGTGTCAATTCAAAATACTAACCCTTGCCTATAAAGCTCTAACCAAATATAGCCCGTTACATTTCTTCCCTGATTCTGCCGGTGACCTTCTCCTGTCCGCTGCTTGCACCCTTACTGCTCGCGTCCGGCTCCCTTCCTTTGGAACAGCCTGCCTATCCCCATCAGACTCTCCCCTAATCTTCAATTATTTAAGATGTCCTAGAGTAACTTATTTATACTTTTCCAAATCTGTCTCTTGATCATAGAAACATAGAATGTGACTGCAGATAAGAACCATTCGGCCCATCTAGTCTGCCCAATTTTCTAAATACTTTCATTAGTCCCTAGTCTTATCTTATAGTTAGGATAGCCTTATGCCTATCCCACGCATGCTTAAACTCCTTTACTGTGTTAACCTCTACCACTTCAGCTGGAAGGCTATTCCATGCATCCACTACCCTCTCAGTAAAGTAATACTTCCTGACTCTCATCATACTCCACTCACACCTCCAGCTCTGCTATTTTTCCACCTTGTTTGGTGGCTGTCACCTTTGCTGCCCTGTTGTGTATTTGTACCCCACATCATCTAGACTGTAAGCTCGTTATAGCAGGGTCCTCATCTACCAATTGTTCCTGTGTCACTCTGTAATTCTCTCATTTATAAATTCCCCCCCTTTCATAATATTGTAAAGCGCTGCGGAATTAGTTGGCACTACATAAATACCAATAATAATAATTTATGAATTCATATACAAAATAGAGCAAGTTTAAAAAAAAAGACAAAAAATAGGGAAAAGCATCAATTTCTCCAGGGCGTAGGCTGTCTGCATGCAATCTGAGCCATAAATTGTACAATTTCCCCTTGCAGGAAAAAGCAAAGAGAATTTCTTTTTTTTTTTTATTACCAGGCACTAAAGCCTCAAGCTAATGGAGTTCCATTGACCTGCACATCAAAGAAGGGATTATGTAGCCGCTAAAAAATAATCATCTGACAGCTTCTTGTAACTCAGGACAATGGGATTTGTAGGGCTTATTGCAATTAAGCACATTAATATTACAACAAAAATATGATAATGCATTGTAGGTAAATAATGACAAGTTAATGTCATCATATTATGAGCAGGAAGGAATTCTTGTGACATAAATTATAATTGTGAACCCTTTGTCCTGCTTGATATTGCATCGTTTTTTGTTTTTCTTTTTCAACATGACTTAAGAAGTGCATGTCTCTGCTAATGGGCAACAATTGACTTATTTTCTGGAAGTGCAGACTGAATCCGGTATGGAGTTTGGACATGTCTGCTATTAGCAGAAATCAGATTATAACATTTTACTCCATGCAATTTAAGATCATTTCCTGAGTGTACTGAAAGACTCAGCTGACAACAGATCTTGGCAGGAATACAAAAGTTAATTTCCTATTAACCCCTCCCAGATACAACCGCTCACTGTTTGGCTTTCAAACAATCAGATAAATAGTTTACATCAATGATGGAGAAACTGGGATATACATCATCCCATTTATTTATTTTAATGGCGAATTGATGTCAATGGAATGTTTCAAGAAATCACAGGATTGCTCGCAAATGTATGCTGTACATGTATCGAAACAGCTGATTTAGTTATTTAATATATCAAAACAGTTGATTTATTTATTAACTTTCTATTTTTGGAATGTAGATACATGTGTATACACACATATTAATCATTATCAATGTATTGCACATTTTATAATTATACATAATATGTATATAAATTTAAATAACCATAGTAAACAGTATAAAGGCTGAGCTACTAAGCCCATCTCCATGATATATAAGGCCTCTCTTATCATCAATTACTGCATGGTCCGGTATAATATTAAGAAATATAACCTTAATTTACATAACACAGGACAACTCTAGGAAGCAGCACTTCCTAAATAAGATTAGGAGGTCTGGTTATTGATATGCCCTCTATGCCTTGGCCATACGAGGGAGTTAGAATTACTGCTATAGCAAAGGAGCAAGAAATATTTGGAAAAGCTAATAGCCTGTAAAGATCTAAGAAATGAGGGGAAAAAAGTAAATACAAAAACCTAAAAACAGGCAAAGCAATTGTTCAGCAGGTTCTCTGTAGCTCACAATAGTGATTGTGCCATGATGTAGTAAAGTTGTAAGTGGTGAGATTGAAATGTTTAACCCCTTAAGGACACATGACATGTGTGACATATCATGATTCCCTTTTATTCCAGAAGTTTGGTCCTTAAGGATTTTTCCCAACTTGAGACTATGACCTCTATCTTGGCTGACTTAATAAAAAGAGCATACTCCATCTAATTGAATACATTTTCCTTGTTTAGGAGCTAGAGGGTGGTGAACAATCTCTAGAATAATTAAGAACGTTATTCCATGGTAACAGTGTGAGCTACCACTCACCTTAATGTTCCTTTGTCTGTTTGCATTGTTAACTATACCAACATGTAGTTGGAGGTTAGTGATGTGCATGTGGCAAGTTACAATTTGGTGTGAGACTTGGTCTTGGTGGTGTTTGAGATAAGTACATTGCCTGCTTTATACCTCCAGAGATTGTCTTTGTCACCTCATAGCACTACTATATCAGTACCAGATAAGCATTGAATCTCCATCTTTGCCTGGAGTTTTTCTGTGGTGATAAGATTGCTATCTTTCAACAACTCGGTGAGCTCATTGTTGCTACCCTTTTGGGCCTCTGAAATTGAAAATGCCTGAGCAATTCCACTATATTTCTATTCTTCACAAAGGAGAACTTTGCTTTTGATTTGTTTTTACCCATAGCCTGTAACAGTTGTTGAAGTACAACAGTAAAAAGCCAGTATAAATGGCACAAAGTAGTAGAAAATACACTTAAATACACAGTGATCCTTCAAATCTATAGAAAGCATATAGCAAAATTGTCAACCCAGGACATTTAGTAGCAAAGAATCATATTCTTATTTCCAAAGTGTGCGGCCACTAATATTTCAAAGTCTGGGATTAACCAGGGATGGATGCAGCAAATGTGCATGAGGTGGGTTTCACAACTGTTAGTGGAGTTAAAGTAACTGTAAGTCTCCTATATCCATGAGTGGTTAATCTAGTCCATAGCAATGCAGGCTGCAAGTATCACTCACAGCGAAATCAGAAAATTAGTAGCTGAAAAATAGGCTAGTACCATGGGCCTTTCGAAGGTAAGAAAAATCTGTGTTGTTTTATTTGTTCTGTTTAGAACCAAGGAGTTGTTTAGTAAAATTGCATTATGCCACTCTGATGTTCTGTTCATCTGCAATAATGGAATGCATTTTATGCTCATTTGACCATAATGCGTCACTCAACTGAAAATACATTTTAGAATATTGCATAATTCAGAACCTCCCTCACTTTTGTATTGCTCTAAATTGTGTATATACAGCAAAAACAATTTATCCTGTATAAATTCTAAAAAAAAAAAAAAAAAACAGTTTGCAATCTACAGCTGTCTTTGCCTGTCTTCCAAACATAAAATGAACAGCCAGCCATATTTATCAATTCAATATGTCCCTTTATTCAGTCACCAAAATAAGAAGACACGGCAATTTGGTGGATAAAAAAAAAAAAAGCAAACATTGCATTGATAACTATGGCTGGTTGTTCATTTTTCTTTGGAGGAAATGGAGGTGGGGTCTTTTAAGTTTGGGCTGCTCTGCTGTTGGATTGTTCTAGCTAACATTTAATTTGTTTGATTCAGCATCAGAATTTATTCTCTTCTTGTAAAAAAAAAAAAAAACAAACAGCAAAAAAAAAAAAACTTTTCAATTAATTTATATACAGAATTCACCAATAAAATCTATGGGAATTTTTGTAGATAAATTATTTGATTTTTTTCCCCAATATAATAAATAAAAACAAATTAAATCAAGGCCGTAAACAGATGAAGTAATCTGGAAGAGACACCAAGAAAGGTTATGGAAGGTAGTAATCATATTGTTGCTGCGATTACGAATGTGGCTTCTTCAAGTTCCAATCCCAGGCTGGAGGTTTACTTGGATCATTTGAATGTTTAGATCAGCGAGTCTGCAGTCAGGATTCAGCCTGTGCTCAGGAGACAGTTATTTCTCCAAACAAGTATGGATCGGACACATTTTCAATTAAAACACAGATCCTGTAAAATGCAGCAATTTTTCTGGGTAAAAAATTTGTGGATTCAGAAGGACCACATCCAGAGTGATTTTACCCCAAAATAGTTTGGATCTATCAAAATTCTGCACTTAAATGCAAAATGCATAGATTTGGCTTTTTTACCAACACCCCTACTTTGCATACTCAAGCCACTCTTCATAAAGTAGTTTCAAGTATGTCATATACTTAAGCTATATAAGTAATAAAAGACCATTATATGCATATTTACAAATATACAATCAACATACACATTGTCTTTATTTAACATGCATTCATTAATGTCAAGGACAACATGTTTTTGAAAAACTGTGCTGTAGATTAACCAGGGGTGTATCCAGAACCTGATCTTGGGATAAGTATACAGTGAAACAGGTACAAATGGGAAAATATGGGTGATATTTTGACTCCTGTTTGGAATTCTTTGACACAGTAATTGAGATTAGACCCCATGTTTCACTAGTATGCTTCCGATGCTCTTAACTATATACACCATATCAATTACATACATTGACATATGCTACAATAATGCAATAGTCAGAGAGGAGATAAATCAATATTGGCCTATAGGAAAACAAGACAAATTGAGAGTTTGGTATCCGAAACAACAAAGAAAGCGAAACCAGAAGAATTCCTTATTTGGTGGACAACCTATCAACCTAATGTGATTTTTATTTCTAATCTGTGTTATTAATCCAGTATAAACCATCGTAATCCTATCCTCTTTTGAAAAAGACATTCATGCTGAAATGTGAGGAAAGAAGAATTTTTTTGACCCTGCGTGATTCTTTTTCTTTAAATTTTTCTCTACTTTATGATATATATTTAGAATTTATTTATTTATATATTGTATTTTCCAGTGTGATTTATGCTCTGTATATGCTCCTATTCAAATTGTATTTTCTTGGATTTACTTAAGAACCATATGTTGTACATTAGATGTGAATTTCCTTATTTAGTAGTGTATAATCTGATTGATGTTTATATTTTTTTTATAAATAGTTATGTGGATTATCTGTGTATTCACTAGCTGTACACATCTACATTACACACATTTCATATTATTGTTCTCATGTAATAATTTCAGTAAAGATTTGCATCTTTTATATTGAGTGAGTTTATTGTGTCCTGAGAGCAACTCAAGAGTCAATATATGCAGGACTGGCAGCCAACCTTACTTTCTAATTTATGTGTTTAGCATATGTCCTCCGCCTGTCTCATTCTTATATTTTATTTTTCCATCTTTGTTGTTTCACTTGTTTTCTCTACCTTCACATTCTTTGAAAAGGTAGGTACATATACTTTTATTTTGGTGCGGGGTGTCGATAGGTGTTTAAGGACCCCTTGCCATTTGGGGGATCATGTTATGGACCAGGTGACAAGTACCGGAGTAAGATTGCCCAGGAAGCCAGATTGAGCCCTGGACTATGTTTCTCTGAGTGTTGTGTCAAATGAGGGGAGGGTGAGACAGAGTGGTGTGTGTGTGTGGTGGCTTTTTCAAGGAGTCTGAGAGCTGTATTTGGGATAGAAGCGGAGTATGCTTGTGTGTTGTATTTAAATTTCGTGTGTATGAATTGGAGTCTCTGTTTTGCTAAATGTTGTGTGTGTAGTGTCTGAGTGTCTGTGCAAACATCCCTTTTGACAGGAGGGGGTTTATCCCTAGTGGTCCAGTGGAGGAATGCTGGAGAGCTGGGTCCCTGGTGGTGAAGTGGGGGAACATTGTAATGTGCACCTATATCAGGTTTTGATCACTTAAAGAGCTCCCTCTCAGTCTGGCACTTGGTCAGTGACTCAGAGTAATGGATGTGATGCTCTGAGTCATTGAGAATGGGTGGGAGCCTGTGACCAATAGATGCATCTCTAGCCTTCAAACTGCATTTCAGATACAACAGATATCATGGGTAGGCATACAGTTATACAAGCACACAAACAGGCATATACAGTCATGCTCAAAAGTTTGCATACCCTGGCAATAATTGTGCAATTTTGGCATCAATTTTGAAAATATGACTGATAATGCAAAAAAAAGGATAGTGATCATATGAATCCATTTATTATCACATATTTGTTTGGCATCTTTTTAGATCATAATGATGACAGAAATCACCCAAATGGCCCTGATCAAAAGTTTACATACTCTTGAATGTTGGCCTCATTACAGACACACACAGGTTAAAATGGCAATTAAAGGGTAATTTCCAAAACCTATGGATTTTTAAATTGCAATAGTCAATGAGTTTGTTAGCTCTCATGCGATGCACTGAGCAGGCTAGATACGGAGACATGGGGAGCAGAAAAGAACTGTCAAAAGACCTGCGTAACAAGAAAATTTAACTTTATAAAGATGGAAAAGGATATAAAAAAGATATCAAAAGCCTTCAAAATGCCAGTCAGTACTGTTTAATCAATAGGCCTCCAAATCACAGGGACTGCAATTGGGACAAAATTAGCACCCTCAAATTCAAACCTAACCATGGGATGGTGGGAGAGCCAATTTATTTGGAGAAACAATCCATTCCTTGATAATATATGTTTTTACAAAAGATTTATAGACAACATTATATTTATATGGAAGGGGGACAAAACAGAACTACTCAGATTCATTAACTATACCAATGCCAACAATATGAACCTCAGATTTACTCACGTGGCCAGTAAAACCAACATCACATTTCTGTGTGTAAATATGTTTATAGATGATAATGGGATTCTCCAAACCAGTAGCCATCGAAAAGAAGTTGACAAGAATGGGTTCTTGGATGCTAGGAGTGCCCACAAACCAGGATGGATTAACAACATTCCAAATAGTCAGTACATGGGGGTAAAAAGAAATTGTAGTAGATCTCAGGAATTGAAAGAGGAATTTCAGAACCTCACAAACCAGCTCATACAGAAACACTATAATCCTCAACTTCTGAAAAAGGTACAACTAGAAGTCCACAATATGAATAGAGAGGAACTCATCTCAACATCAAGAGGAAAGAGAGATGATGGACTTTGGAGAAACAAAGACAGAACACTTCCCATATTTGTGACAACCTATAACTTAGCAGCAAACGATATTAAGAGAATCATATGGAAACACTGGCCCATCATCACCCAGGACAAACATATGGGTTTTTTGGACAACACAAGACCAAAAGTAGTGTTCAGAAAGAACCAAACAATCAAAAACATAACTGCCCCAAGTTTGGTTAAAAATAAAAACAACCAAAAACAAAACAGGACTTTTGGGCGTAAAAGGTGTATTTAGGTGTGGAAGCAAAAACTGTATCACCTGTCCACTTATCAAGCAAAAAGATAAGTCTTTCTTCTCCAACCATAATGATGAAAAGAAGGAATATGCAATCCAACAATTTATCTACTGTAACACTACCCACGTCATCTACCTTTTGGAATGCATATGTGGTAAACAATATGTGGGCAGAAATGTAGAAAGTTGAAAACAAGAATATATGAACATGTACGTTCGATCAGAAAGAAATGTATAAACCAGGGAGTTCCGCTACACTTTCTGGAGAAACACAACAGTGATCCAAAAGATCTAATGTTTAAAGGGATTGAAGCTATTCCACCCACAAAAAGAGGTGGGGATGGATTTAGAATCTTAAGACAACAAGAAACCTATTGGATTTTTAAATTAGGGACACTAGAAAATGGAGGATTAAACAAAGAGCTAGATATAGTGGCTTTTTAGGCTTCATCCCCACCCAGTCCAATAAATACCTACAGCCATACAAGTCTGAAAGTGCCTGATCTCGTCAGATCTCAGAAGCCATACAGACTCGTCCTGGAATGGGAGACCAACTAGGACTCAATTTCAGATATCCCTTCTATCTAAATGTACAAGTTTAGGCATTGAACCCTCTGTATACTACTTATATTTTTTTTTCTTCCTTTATTCTACCTTACCTTTTCAGGTTTTTTTTGTTTTGTTTTTTTATTTATTTATATTTTTATTTCATTCACAGTGCTCCATCTACCGGAGAACACCTATCATTATGTATACATCATGTAACAAATCATAAATAGATACTAAAGTTAAAAAGATACATCTATATCTCTATCTTTTTTTATTCATTACCTAAGCTCCATGGTTTATATGGTAACTATATTCACATATAAAATGTACTTCTATATCTTTCAAATATAGGTAGCCTTTGAGAGATATATATTTTTAAAATAAGATTTTAATAAATAATCTCCAAAGTTTGCAACAGACTTATTTTTACTTTTAGTATACTCATTTTTGTTAATAACATAAGAAGTAAATAAACCATCAAACATATATGGAGCCAGTATCTTTAGACAACTTAACCAGGCTCCCATAATTAGAAAGATAAGAATCAACACCTTTGCACCAATTAGGCAATTTCGAATGCACATAAAAGAAGCCCCATTCATGAGGTGTTCAACAGTGTTTCCCTGAGGAAGTGAGCGCAGAGCTCACGAAACATGTAGGAGTGAGAACACAGCAAACACCGATACCATCACGTCCTAGGACGATCCGAGTGCCCGGATCATGATCCTCCGGCTTCAATCTACGTGCGCAAACCAGAGAGACGTTTAAAGCAGGGAGATGAGCACACTACACAGGATCCATTTTCTGCACAAGTACAGTAAGCAGCCACGCTACACAAGAGGATTCCTGAGACTGTTTCAATCTTTCAGCTTACTTTGTAGGATCTAAAGGGATCCCTTAGATAAAGGGCTGGTATATTTCTTTTTCTAATTCAAAATATTAGTCCTTTCAGGGTAATTAAATTATACAGTAAAGCATATTCACATGCAGACACAGACAATCTTACTGATGTACACAAATAGGCTCATTGACAGACAATCTCAATGACACACACAGACAAGGTTACTGGTACACACACAAATTTAATACAGACAAACTCTGATACACACACAAGCTTACTAGAGATAAGCTCACTGTCACACACATACACGCTCATTACAGACAAGCTCATTGACACACACATGCTCCTTACAGAAGAGCTCACTAACATACAGATTCACTACAGTCAAGCTCACTGACACACACATGCACACATGCTCACCACAGACAGGCTCAGACACACCCATGCTCCCTACAGACAAGCTCACTAACACACACACACATGATCCATACAGACAAGCTCACTGACACACATACAAGCTCACTGACTAGCAGGCACACACACACACACACACACACACACAAACTCACTAGCAGGCGCACACATAGCTCCCTCACTAGCAGATGCACACACACACAGAAGCTCAATCGTTAGCAGATGTACAGACACACAAAGACATCCACACACACAGAGACAGACACACACACACATACAGTGTCACACAGGCAGTCACACACACAGGCAGACAGTAAAACACACACAAGCAGACGGTCTCACACACACACACACAGGCAGACAGTCACACACAGAGGCAGGCAGTCACACACACACACAGACAGATAGTCACACACACACACAGGCAGATAGTCACACACTCATACACACAGGCAGACAGCCACACACACACTGACCTGCTTCTTACATCCCTTGGAGCTCATGGAGACTGGTTGTTGCTGAAGCAGGGACTCCTTCCTGCTTCCCATCCTGCAGTTACCCGGCTCATTTAGCGCCGCCCAGTAAGCTCCGCCCAGTTGCACGCTAAACTCTGCCTCGCCACATGCTAAGCTCCGCCCCACCGCAATATTGTTTTTTTTTCTTTTGTGTTTTTTTTTTATAATCCTGGCCAACCACATGCGAGCTGTGTCGGCCGCCTGGCGCCCCCTGCTCCCATGGGGCCCTCTGCGGCCGCACAGCTCGCACATGGCTGGCCAGAGTTACAGGAGTCTGATCAGTAATGATTAGGGCTGTCAGCCCAGCTCCAGGTGCCGCGGCCCACCGGGAAATTTCCCGGTATCTCGGTGAGCCAGTCCGGCCCTGCTTAGATAGAATATACTTTAAAAAAACAGGTTGGATTACATCTCTGAACTTTTACCCACTTTAAGACTTTAGATATTTTCTTAATGTGAGCTAGACATTCAAGCTCTTTGTCTTTTGTTTTTTTCTCTTTTTTTATTTAATCTTTTAGAAGCATTAAATATGCATTTCTTCTTAAGGAATTTTAAGTTGGTTGTTTTTTATTCAGCATAAAGGATTTTTTTTACTTAAAGCTATATGTCCCTCTGCACTCTTTTCTGTTTCTGGGTAGTAATATTATATATATAGGAAATACTAAGGATATTTCCCATTATGAGCTGCATTGGGATACCAGCACATTCTTTTTAAAATATATATATATATATATATATATATATATATATATATATATATACACACACCACCACCCATAATATTAAAAAAAATATATATAAATCAACAAGTGGTATTTATAGTATTCTAAATTTGAACACCTTAGGTGATCAGCCCAAAGGCTACCTATATGTAACCTTTTTTTTTTCCTATGTTTTTATATTTACTCTAGGAGTGATTGACTATTCAAATTATTTTTATTTGAGTTTTGATATTGTATAGTACTGTTCAATCACTTATTAAGAAGTGGAACATTTTGGGATCTCTTGCTTCCAAAAACCCACAGGTAACTTCAGAAGAAATACAGGCTGCTATGGAAAAAGGACAGAGTGGTTGTTTCAAGGAGCACGATACGACAATACTTGAACAAAAATGAGCTACATGGTTGAGTTGCCAGAAAGAAGCCTTTTTTGTGGCAATGCCACAAAAAAAGCCCAGTTACAAAATGCCAGACAAGACCTTGACACGCCTAACAGCTTCTGGCACACTGAGTGATGAGATCAAAATAGAGTTTTATTGTCACAACCACAAGCGCTATGTTTGGAGAGGGGACAACAAGACCTATGGTGAAAAGAATAGCATCCCCACTGTGTAGCATGGTGGTGGCTCACTGATGATTTAGGGGAGTGGGGGGGGGGGCTAAAGGCAAGGGGAATCGTGAAAATTGATGGCGAGATCAATGCAGCATGTTATCAGAAAATACTGGCAGACAATTTGCATTCTTCTCCACGAAGGCTGTGCATAGGACGCTCATGGACTTTCCAGCATGACAATGACCCTAAGCACAAGGCCCTCCAGTGCTTACAGCAGAAAAAGGTAAATGTTCTGGAGTGGCCATCACAGTCTCCTAACCTTAATATCATCGAGCCACTCTGGTTAGATCTGAAGACGAACAAAGACTTTGCATGACCTGGAGGCATTTTGCCAAGACGAATAGGCAGCTATCCCACCTGCAAGAATTAGGGGCCTCAGACAACTATTACAAAAGACTGCACACTGTAATTGATGCTAAAGGTGGCAATACACAGTAGTAAAAACTAAAAGTATACAGACTTTTGAACAGGGGTCCTTTCATTTTGTTCTTTGTTGTCATGTTTTGTTTTAGGATTGTGCCATTCTGTTATACCCTACAGATGAATATGAATCCCATAAGAAATAAAAGAAATGTGTTTTCTTTAAAAATGGTACATAAATTACCAATTCTCCAAGGGAATGCAAACTTTTGAGCACAACTGTAGACAAAAGCACACAATCATATAGACACAAATATGCAGGCACACAGTCATTAACACACTTACGTGCATACTCAGCCCTAAGTGCAGTTAGTTCCCCTTCATTAGATTTACACCTAGCTCTTGCCCATTTGCTATCCTCTGGGAAACATGCTGGCAAGCTCTTGGAGTCCACTGAAATCCAAATCCTGTGGCTCTGCATGGGATTTTTAATTCATAGTACTGCCTACACTATGCGAGTTATCTGCCGCGTGGGGAACCTAATTAATTAAAGAGGGGACCTTAACCCCCCTGGTCCCCAATGATGAGTGGCAGGTGGGGACCCTAATTAATTAAAGGGGGACCTAAACCACACTGGTCCCCACCCATGAGCGGCAGGTGGGGACCCTAAATAAATAATGGGGGGACCTAATGTCCCCCCCCTGGTCCCCACCTATGAGCCACGGGTGGGGACCCTATGTCCGCCCTGGCACCAACCCATGAGCAACGGGTGGGGACCTAATGTCCGCCCCTGGTCCCCACCCATGAGCGGCAGGTGGGGACCCTAAATAAATAAATAATGAGGGGGACCTAATGAGTTGCTGCTGTTCCTAAATGCTTCCACTTTCCAATAATATCACTTATAGTGGACCATGGAATAAAATTTCATGAACTGACTTATTGATATTATATAGCATCCTATCACAGTACCATGCTTGAATTCACGGAGCTCTTCAGAGCGACCCATTGTTTTCACAAATGTTTGTAAATGCAGACTACATGGCTAGGTGTTTGATTTTATACACTTGTGGCAATGGATCTGGTTGAAACACCTGGATTCAATCATTAAGATGTGTGTCCCAATACTTATATACCGAGAGAAAGAGGCAATACATAAGTTGAACTGTGTAATATAAGAAAATAATGCTATTGAGCGGTTGTCAAGATATCATATGTCTCCAGAATATCAAAGTGACATTTTCCTCTAACACACGCTTCACTGTTATATATCTTTTAGATTGTATTATATTTTTAGTTTAGGACTGAGCTTAAGATTAGTGGGTTACAGGCTCAGGCAATAGCTATTTCAGTTAATCTTGGGAAGACCCGGGCACGTATCTTCTGGTTCTGCCTGAGATTAGAGCCTCCAGAAGTTGATCCATGCATTATTCTAAGTTCATAGCATTATTCTATGTTTATTATATTAAATAAATGACTTCACTACCTGTACAGTACAGGATTCTAAAACATTACCTCCAGGCTTGAGTTAACAGGCATTTAATGAAATTTCAAACTATCATTATACAATTAGCATGAGCCTCCTCGGCACCATAAATAAATGTATATAGTAACTACATCATCTACTTACCTAACGCACTACCCAGGGAAATTACAACATTTATTTGTATACCACTACAAATTTAATACAAAATGTAAATATGAATTGAACTAAATGTAGAAAAAAAAATCCATATTATTGGGTGTAATTAAAGTATAATACAGTAATAAAGTGGCTTATTAGTATAATTGAACCATTTTTTTTACCCAAAAACAGAAAATGATTTTGGACGCCCGAATTTCAATTCAGTTTGGAACAGCAGAATCACGGTTAAAATCAATAGGTCAATCAGTGTACTGCAAAATATATACACAATATGATATGATGTATATTTTGCCCTGATAGGAATATTATCCACCATTTGATTCACAGATCAAAGAGTGGTGGGAAAAAACAATCTATATTTATTAAATATATACCGTGTTTCCCCGAAAATACACCCTACCCCGAAAATAAGACCTAGCTGAATTTTCGGGGTGGGCTGCAATATAAGCCCTACCCCGAAAATAAGACCTAGGCATTGTACCTTTCGGTCCGGCGGGACTTCCTTCTTCTATGAGGAGGAGGAGGAGCGTTGCAGGCCGCGGCATCGCGCAACGTGATGACGACGTGCGCAGCGTCGTCAGTCTGCCTTCACGGATCTTCAGCGGAAGGATCCATTTCCGGGCAGTGAGGCACCCAGTGGTCGGACTCGGCGGGCAAGGAAGGCATCTGTGAGTAGATATTTTATGTCTGGGACTGAATTAATTAAAGGGGGCGGTGAATTAATTAAAGGGGGGGCTGGATTAATTAGAGGGGGGTGGATTTATTAAAGGGGGGTTGGATTAATTAAACGGGGGGTGGATTTATTAGAGGGGGTGGATTTATTAAAGGAGGGGTGGATTTATTAGAGTGGGTGGATTAATTAGAGGGGGGTGGATTAATTAGAGGGGGGTGGATTAATTAAAGGAGGGGTGGATTAATTAAAGGAGGGGTGGATTAATTAAAGGAGGGGTGGATTAATTAAAGGGGGGTGGATTAATTAAAGGAGGGGTGGATTAATTAAAGGAGGGTGGATTAATTAGAGGGGGCTGGATTTATTGGGGGGGTGGATTTATTGGGGGGGTGGATTAATTAAAGGAGGGTGGATTAATTAAAGGGGGGTGGATTAATTAGAGGGGTGGATTAATTAGAGGGGGTGGATTTATTAAAGGGGGGTGGATTAATTAAAGGGGGGTTCAATGTACATACCGGTACCATAAATAAATAAGCCCTACCCTGAAAATAAGCCCTAGTGTGTTTTTTGGGACTAAAATTAATATAAGACCCGGTCTTATTTTCGGAGAAACACGGTAACATACATATTTTTTTTTTTACTGCTCCTCCTTTTGTTTATTTTTAGAGCCCATTAATAAATATGATCTAAATAATGATCACCTTTCATAATATCGCCCTTCTTTTTCTTTTTCTTCTTAAATGCAATGTACGGCCTGGTTATGGAATGCACTGTATTTGCAATATCAGCAATTGCTGAATCTCTAATATACATTTAAAAGAAAATAGTTAATCACAAAAATATATAATAAAGTTATTGCAAATTTTCATTCGGTTGTGTAATTTCCAGAAAAGTGATTGTTTCCACCCATAATAATTAGTAATGCATTTCATCAACAATGCCAGAGAAATGATGGTATTTTATATATTGGCTGAAAATAATGTTACCAAGCATTCATATGCATATTAGATAAAATAGTAACATTTATATGCTATGTACCCATTCTAAACTAAGGTCTAGAGGTTTTTCTGAGGGGGGGTGGGGGGGGGGGAAGGGGTGGTTAAGCATACACATTACATTGTTTCATTACAATACACATTAAAATGTTTGAACACCGATTTGATCCACATTAATGCATTATTGCTTTTATGACTGGCAGACAGTATTATCATTTATACACTAATGGAACTTTAAGTACATTTTACCTTTTCTTACGTCACTTATTTACCTTATGCGGTTAATGCAAATCCTCTCTTATAGCATTCCTTTGTAATTGCGATACTCTGTACTTGAATAAATGAAGTCAAAATGGTATTACAATTTGTTGTTTGTTTTACCATATTATAATGGCTATATGATGGGGAAATTGACAATTTTCTGTATGCATAAGCAGAAAAATAACTAAGTGCAGTCCCATAAATCAATAGAAAATGTTGGTATAAAGAGGCAAAATTGACTCATTTGTGCAGTGGAGCCTTTCATAATAATTAAAACTAACACCATCCATCAACTGCTGTCAAGGAGATGTTATTGCACATTGTCTAAACGTCCCACTCCTCCTTTGCCAACACCTGGGTTGATGTTTGGGTGGATGGTTTCCATTAGGGTAGAGTTAACAATACAACACAGGTCAATGACTAATGACAACATCATTGTATTAAGCATGCATTCATCGACTAAAGCAGTTAGAGCTGCCATGTTCAAACAAACAGGCCTGATGGAAATGTGAAAATAACAGCGAGTCAGCCCTCCACAATTTGCTAAATCACTATTTCTCTGTTTGGGACCAGACACCATTTAGCATAACAGTGCTAAGAAAGGTTAGAACGGAATACTATTTTAGGTCATGTAGGTTGTGATGGACCGCTGGCACTCCGACTGAGTACCTCCGCCAAGCGATGCTCCTAGTGCTTGCCGAGGACTCCGAGCACTGCAAACGACACCATCAGCAATGCGGACCCCACTTCTAGCGATGCAGCTGTGCCAGGGTCTCGCCGTCTCTCACCCAACCTGGATCCATGACCAGGATCCAGCTCCCAGTGGTTGAACCTCTCCTAAATCCTGAGAGTGTGGCAGGAACAAATCAAGCTCTTACTCTGAGGAGTAAGTGATTCTAGCAATCCCCAGAGTGTAGGTATCCCTTCCCCCAAGCATGAGCCAAGGCTTCAAGAAAGGTGCAAGTAGGTCTGGTTTATTGAGGGCTACCTGCCCGGCATTTATGCAAGTGTCCACCAGGTGGACACTCCCGTAGGGGACCTGATGGAACAATGGGACACATATTGGATATAAGCCAATCACAGACAATACAAACAAAACACTCCCACAGTGACATTACAATCCCTCCTCTCTATCCTGGAGATAATTGGGAAGTAATCAAATTATCTCCCAGGACAGAGGCAAGACTCCATTAACCACATGGTTACAAAAAGACCTAAAATTACACAATGTTACAATTACTATATAAAACATATACATTCAACATATCCCCAGATAGCTTAGATCTGAGCACACATTATTACCGAATGGCGCTCAGATCACATACATACAGTTCAATCGCCATGGAGCCAAAGTCTTTTCCATAGTCTTTCGTTACACGAATAGGCTCCATGGCATAGCTATCTGGGGTAGCACTACCCACATACTGAAAGTCCTGAACGCCTCGGCAGAAATACACAAATAAACCTTTCTGCAGGGTAAAATACAGCTGTCAGCACAGGGGCCATAGTCGGAAGGCAGGAGGCTAGCCAGTAGTCCCCTCCAGGCACAAGTGATGAAGGGCACTTCGTCACATAGGTAAATTATATTTCATTGAGCTACATAATCTAGTATGTGTTCTTGTGCAGTCATATGTAAAGTGACACTGTATGATCCTATTGGTGCTTAATGACCAATGGTGCAGAGTGGCCCTGGCACTCCCCTGCTGCCAGTCACCCATCGGTTGTGCCCCCTGGGTAGGTTCACCTCAGGTGGCAGCCTTATGGTTGCACCAGCACTGAAGGATGCCGGCCCACCAGGAAATTTCCCAGTAATAGGGCAAACTGTTTTGCAGCAGTGCCAAAGGCTGCCAACCCCTGTTGTAGGGCATGGTCAAAGCAGAGTGCTGTGGAGTTAAGTGTAGTTTTTACTTACTGCTTATCAAAATAAGTGCTTCTATCATATTTAGTGGGGTGATGGAAAAAACTGTCATTCTCACAGAAGTGACATTTCTGCTTTAGAGAGCCAGGCTTACTCTATGGTGCAAATAGCATTGACCCATAATGTTCCGATATTAAAGAATGCTGATGCTCCCATTTGGAAGAACAAAAAATCAAGAATACTTTCCCAATGGCTAGATACAAATGAAACAGATTTTGTATGGGATATTCAGGAGAGCAGATGATGAAGTATTTTTCTTAGAACAATGAGTGACTCTACATCTTATGAGGTCATTGATAATATTATATTCTTAGCTTTTTCCAGTATATTGTTCACCAAATATAGTATTCTATTTTAGTATTAATGCGTAGGGAGCTGTGTATTGTAGTACAAATATCATTCATCATATACGAGTGGGGTTTTGTTTTGTTTTTGCTGATTGACAGTAGGAGAAGGTATGGCACCTGTATAAAATTTAGTATAATTTTTCATTATTTTTGCACAATTTACTGATTCTGACTTGAGTAAACATTGAGTTTAGTGTATTGTATGTATTATATTAACTGATAAAATCATTTTTGCAGGAATAACATTGTGCACAAAGACCGAGGCAGGGGGTTACTGGATATTTAGTTCAGTTGGTTTCTGTTGAATAGTGTACTTTGTATGGAAAACATATAATAATTTGCTGCTGTTTGCTTCTATTAAAATATTCAGGTGGTGGTAAATAAAATATTTTGGATTCACGTTTGAGTGCCATGTCCATCTGTGTTTGACTTTTTGGAGTTGGTTAATACTGCGTTTTCTAATTACGTTAGTAATTACATTACTGAGACTGCAAGGACAATATTTTTGCCCCAGAATCACTACTAAGTTGCAGTGGTTGTGGTGCCAAGAGTGTCCCTATAAAGCAAGGGGTGAATTTGATTACTGTAGAGTGAAACTATTTATTTATTTCTACAATTTTGAATAGAATAGAATTTAAACCCTATAGGTCTTGTTTTAAATGGTATTATTACTCTACAACACTCGTCATTTTTAAATCCACAATATAATAATTAATGTCCAACAGGCAATACTCATAATAACCAGCTCTGCATTTTCTTACAGACGTTATTGCCTACAACCTATGTTGTAAAAAATAAATTGTATTTCCGATATTTTATAATTAGATTGCATTTCTAAGGAAATAAGGTCTTGAAAGTTTTCCTCCTTTCTTTCTGGAAATTAAAAATCCCTGCCTATTACATCTAATTTTGACTCATGATTCACAAGAACAAAAAAGGACTTGTTTGAGGTTAGAAGAAGCTCAAGCAGAAAAGGTCCTAGGATTCTTATTATGGGTGTAGCCCTTTTCATGTACAGACTGCATGCTTTGCTTCTTTATGTATCTGAACGTTTTCACTAGTGTTGTGTTCAAAAATAGCTAACCCCTTCTCTACCATGATTTCTTAGTTAAAAAAAGAATTGCCATGTATTTGAATCATGGGATGCAAAGCTAGCATATAAACAAAAGATAAAACAGTAATTTCATGTAAACATAGCTTTCCAGGGAGACCTTATAGAAGCCAGTTATCTTAATTTACATAACAATATTTTCTTCCAAAACATTTTATGAATTTCACTACATAGGAGTGAAAACCAAAGATATAGATGTAGTGTAATCATTGACAATTTGCTTTTTGCAAAAATACTATAATAATCATAGGCGTGCGCACGGGGTGTGCCGGGTGTGCCTGGGCACACCCTAATCCCCGTGCGCACCCCTATGGTTTGAGTCCTGCAGGAACAGCGTTCCTGCACTTTTTTTGAGCAGGAACGCTGTTCCTGCAGGCACTCAGTGCCCCCTGTTTCACCTCTTGCCACTGTCATGGGAGGGCAAGAGGTGATGATTCCCCCCACCCTGCAGGTCAGCGCGCGGCGAGGGAGCTCTCTGCTCTCTGCTTCCTCTCGCCGCGCGCTGATGCCGGGAGCCGGAATATGACGTCATATTCCGGCTCCCAGCTCCAGGAGACAGCCCGCGCGGCGAGAGGGAGCAGAGAGCAGAGAGGCGCCCGCCCCCACTGGACCCCAGGGACAAGTCCACCAGCACTCCAGGTAGGAGGCTGGGTGGACATTTAAAAAAAAAATTAAAAAATAATAATTTGTGTGTGTGTGTGTGTGTGTCTGTGAGTGTGTGTGTCTGTGAGTGTGTCAGTGTGTGTCTGTGAGTGTGTGTGTCAGTGAGTGTGTCAGTGTGTGTCTGTGAGTGTGTCAGTGAGTGTGTGAGTATGTGTCTGTGAGTGTGTGTCAGTGTGTGTCTGTAAGTGTGTGAGTGTGTGAGTATGTGTCAGTGTGTGTGAGTGTGTGTGTGAGTGTGTCAGTGAGTGTGTGTGTGTGTGTCTGTGAGTGTGTCAGTGTGTGTCTGTGAGTGTGTGTCTGTGAGTGTGTGTCAGTATGTGTGAGTAGTGTGTCAGTGTGTGTGTCAGTGTGTGTCTGTGAGTGTGTGTGTGTGTCTGTGAGTAGTGTGTCTGTGTGTGTCAGTGTGTGTCTGTGAGTGTGTGAGTATGTGTCTGTGAGTGTGTGTGTCAGTGTGAGTGTGTGTGTCAGTGAGTGTGTGAGTATGTGTCAGTGAGTGTGTGTGTCTGTGAGTGTGTGAGTATGTGTGTGTTTCTGTGAGTGTGAGTGTGTGTGTCTGTGAATATATATATACGTATATATATATATATATATGTATATATATGTGTATATATATATATATATATATATATATATACACACACGCACGCGCGCGGCGTGTGTTTGTGCTTTAGGGTGCACACCCTAATGCAATAGGCTGCGCACGCCTATGATAATAATAAGGTTAGACATACTGGGATTATTTACAATGGCAAATATTGGTGTGCATGTTACATATAATAAGGGGGAAGGTGTATCGGATAGAGCAGGGGTTCCCAATGCATTTTTGCCGTGGAACGCTTTGACATAGTGTATAAACACTGTAGAACCCCCACCGTCCCCCCTCACCCCCCAAATGTTTTAGAAACCTTTTGATTAGCAGCATGTAATGTTTCCTTTTTAGCAATCTTTTTTTTTTGGTATTTATACATGCTAATTTCTACAGATAGCAAACAAATTGTATTACTTAGGAGCAGGTGTGCTTTTGTGTATAAAATTGGTGTTTGTATATAATTTTAGTGTTTTAATACAGGGGTGTGTTTGTATGTAATGCTTGCATTTGCGTGCAGGGGTGTGTTTGGATGTAGTGTTGGCTTTTAAATATGGATGTACATTTGTGTGTAGTATTGGTGTTTGAGTGTTAAAATTCAGAGGTGTTTTTGGATGTAATGTTTGTGTTTGCAGGAGTGTGTTTGGATGTTGTGTTGGTGTTTGATTGCTGGATGTATGCACGTACACTGCCACATACATACTTACACAGTTATACATACACATTAACACAGAGATACACAAACACATTGAAACATACACACACATTCATATACACAATGGCACATACACACACACAGAGACACGCTTTGACACATGCACACACTCTGGAAATTGATTAGAGGTAGTACTTGTGACAAACGCTCCTTCCCATGTATGTTTGCCACGGACTGGAGGAGTGTGGAAGCCAGCCCCGTGCCCACCGACTATGGTCCAGGTTTGGGACACCATATGGGAGTTATCCTGCCCATTTGTGGCTTGCCCTGGGTGCCCCTGGTTCCCTTCATGCGAATGGATATGAACGCTGGCTCTCTGGCAGCCGTTCACATGAACCAAACTCACAAATAGTCCTCAGCGGTACTTAGCAGCAACCACTGTGGAACTAATTTCTGCATGAGGACTTCTTGGGTACCCGGTCACCTCAGCGGGACTGAATGTTATGAAACTGTTTTCGGCATGAGGTGACCGTGTGGTTCATGGACAGCTTGGATCACGGTTTTGAACCCCTAATACTCCAGGAGGTGCCTAAGAAGGGGAATAATTGCTACCTAAGAGCCAGACGGAGCACCCAGTATTGCGGCCATAGGAGCTTCTGAAAGTTGACCAGCAAAGGCACCAAACCCTGGAACTATTTTGGGCATAGGACCACGTGTGCGACTGGTTAGAACTTTAACATGGTGGCGTTTCCCCTACACTGCATGGATCTGAGCACTATCTAGAGAACTTGGGCACTCAGATCAGGGCTTTTTGGGGATGTATTCGTATTTGTGAGGTTATTTTATGTTTTTGTTATGTTTTGGCTTTCTTTATGTTTTATATTTTTGTGTTTGCCTCTATTCGTGGGAGATAATTAGCTTACCAGTATTTAACACAATTATCTCCCAGGCCCAGAGATTCCTGGGAGGGGCTTGTGCTGAATACAACAGAGACCCTGCTGGGGTCTGTGCATAAAACGCAGAGTTTAGCTCATTAAAATCAGTTGTACTCCCAGAACTATGTGTCGTCTAGTTACTGGGAGGGGAAAGGGCTAATCACTGTTCAGCACCTTGTTCCAGCTCGTGGAGGATTCGGCCGGGAAAGTCCTTGTAAGGACTACAGCTCCCAGGACTGTGTGTCATCCAGCCCCTGGGATTGAATAGAGCTTGTCCCCTGTCCTGTTCCAGGACAAGGAGGCTCCAGGAGGACCCCAGACAAGCCACGGCGACTGGGACAGAAGTGCTGAGGTTTTTCCCGGTTCCAGCTAGGAAGCGATCCTTGGCGGAGGTACCCTGCCAAGGTACAGGGAGCTCTGCTACAGTACTTATATACAGGGGGTCAGCCCAAGCCTTCTCAGTCCATCATATGGAGAAGTTCTAGAACATTAAGTAATGCATTCAAGAATTTCTGTAGATAAATAATTTGAAACGTTTGTAATAGATTGGAATCATTTGAAAAGTTTAATAAATCAAGGTAAATTTTTGAAGAACTCGTTACAACCTTTGATTTTTGTATAAACATTGAGTGTATGAGAAGGTGTAGTACCCTGGCAAGCAGTTGACTATTCTTGTTACTTTGCCTATTGAATGTATCATTGCTGAGCAACAGGCTACATAATGAAATGATTTCTTATTTTAGAAGCAGCGGAGATCAAATTGTGCCATTTTCAAGAACAAAAAGACCAATGGCCCCCAGAAAAATGTATCTCTGGAAATCTTCAGGCTAAAAAGGAACTCACTAAACACTAAGGGCTTGTGTGACGAATGTCCTATTTACCCTATTTCCCTTTTGTCCATTTGAGAACTCACAGCGGCATTTGCTGCAACTGCTAGAGACAGAATGCGTGCAGTAGAAGAACTTGAGTGTATGTAGCTCATAATACCACTACCCTAGCTGGCAGAAGCAGGGCAGATGTATGATGACCTCAGGACTGTGCTATTTAGTAGATCCGTATTCTACCTTATTGTAAAATGCAGGATTACAAGAGGGAAATGGAACAGCTATTCTAATTATTGTGAAGTGCTGTGTAATGTGTTGGCGCTATATAAATACCAATAATAATAATGTGTAATGTATTTAGTTACTCTTGGTCTCAGATGGTGTCTGCAGGTGTCTGCAGCTCCTTGTAAGATCTTTAACCAGCAAAGTGTGATTGTTCATAGGAAAATTGCTAGCAGTTTTTAATTAGATAGAATATCCTGTAATACCCG